CGGGGATTCCATACAGTGCGCTGCTGTCAGAATAAAATTCTCAGAGATGATGCTTCCTCCGCATTGCCAGGACACATCTTTACCATAACCGATCACTGCCTACGATATGGAAAATACTGCTCTGTTAATTACTTTGGTGATTAAAATAATACATGGAAATCTATATTGTGCTATTACAAGGGATTTTCCAAATGACAGATTTTTAGGATCGCATATAAAAGAAAATTATTGCTGTGCAACATGTGACAATAAAAAAGTAAAAATTATTAGACAAATTAATTTATTTAATAAAAATATAATAAAATGTAATATTTGCAATTATTATTTTCTATTTTTAAAAATTATAGGGACATGCAAAAGTATATTTTACGCATATATTAAAAGAATATTTTTTATTGTATATATTTTTAAATTTTATGTTTTTCTGCATATTTATGAATATTTTAATTTTATATAAGCATAAATTTTATATTACATTGTGTGTTTACGTAACATTATATTAGTGACAATTATATTAATACCATTTTCTATTAAGTAATTGAAATTTAGAAAACAATTTTCATTGTCTACAAATGTTTATGCTTATACGTTTATTGCAACATTCGACAACATTATATATGATTCTTAATTATTTTGCAGCGATAAATACGTATTTATTCTCACCATATGCGGAAATTCCGCATGTTTCGCTTGGATTCCGCCGATAATTAGAGGTATCTCAACAACAGCGCAGCGGGAGACTTTATTCGAGACAGCATTGATACGTAAAGTTGGCGAGCTCTCGGTTTCGTAAACCAGATCCGCATATTCTTTACATTCTACGAAGTGGGGATTATGCAAATTGAGGATTATGATTATAGCGGAAAATGCGTGGAAAATGATGCAAACGACGATTTATGGTGTAATTACGATGTGAGGGAATTATGGCAATATATGGAAATTACTCATTTATACGCGTAATTCTTTTTCTGCAAAGTGCGTAGTTCATTAATTCGTTATTGCATGTCATGATTGCTTAATGCATCTCCTGTGAAACGCGCATCTATTTGTGTGTTGATCTAAACAAATTATACACGTTTCTTGTAATCACAAAGCACATATTCGCATAATGAAGAATAGTTCTAAAAACAGCTTGATATCGATTTAACAAACATTACACATTTTCTCAGAAGTAAAGTTGTGAAAAATGCAAATTCTGTGATAATAATTATCTACGATTACAAACTGTTTTGAAATGCTTTTTTTTGATTGGACAATTAGTTAATTTTTATCTTCTAATTAATTAATCGAATGCTTTGAAGCATTTACAGTATCAAGTAACTGTAGCCTAATTAGAGTTAATTTTCCAGTAACAAAGGTTTTATGGAAGATTTTATAAAAGCTCGATTCCTAATGAAGCTTTTGATTCCTAATGAAAAATTTAAGATTAAATTAAAGACTTCAAGATTATTAAATTATAGAGATTTAGAACACGAAAATTAAAACAAATGATTATAAGTCTCTAAATTAAGGATTGTTCTTATTTTTTAGTGGTTTAATCACTTTTAGGGATTTAATGTAAACAAATATTTATTTAATTTTGCAATTAATTGCTACAATATTTAGTATAATATTTAAAAATTATGAAGTTGCCATGATTTTTAATTCAATTTCTCCATAAAAAATCTATAAAAAATTAATTTTAAATTTGGCAAGAAAATAAGATACATTGAAGTCATATGTATGCATACATTAGAAATAAACAATTCTTCGAATCCGATCGCGCATATAACGAAGCAGATAGGCTATCACTAACTTTCTTCACTTTTTCGCGCCACGGAATTCCTAAATAAAATTGTGATGAACAACACGATTGCAAGCTCTCTATGCATGTTGTAAATCCAATGCACAACGTACCGATACTTTTTTCGAACAAAAGCCTTAATAGCAAATTTTCGCCTTAAAAACAATGGATAATGCGTAACGAAGTGCATGCGAATTGCTCGATAAAATCGTTTATTAACGATTTGGTAATCCATGAATCAAGGTGTCATTAATGATATTAGCGGAACTACAAGCAATGACGTATCCGCTGAATTCTTCCTGGTGCATTTCATAAAATGTTGCGTCTGCTTCCAGTAAGTAGGTATTGTACCTTAATAATCAGTTATTTCGTAGAAAAACTGCGTTGTGTTCTGATTTAACTGCATATCATGCTCACGATAAAAAATGATCTTCTTTTTACATACTCACGCTCATGATAAATAATGATCTTCTTTTTACATACAAACACTCACATCAATTAAACAAAACATTAACTTAAATTTCAGATTTAACAAAAGATGTTTTAAATACTTGAATTTCAAAACAATTTTTTTATAACTACTAAAATAGATTATTATTTGAAGTAGTTATTTTCAATATTGTATTTGCAATGTTGATAAATAAATCTTCAATTAACTTTTATAAAATAAAGATCTGTTTTATAAAATAAAAGTTTTTCTATAAAATAAAGAACAAGAATTGTAAAATTTTGTTTATCACCTATTAGCTTGAGACATAATTTGCAAGCATTTTGCTCAGAATGGTATATTTTCTCAAAAAATGTTCATAAATCCTATTTAATTCAAAAACCATTTCATTATTATTACTCGAACACACACTACATTCTTTTGTATTATTACACATCCTAGAATGCGTGAGACATAAATTTTGTACATTTAATACTTTACTTCATTCATAAAGATATTTCTCTTTCAAACAGATGCATATTTTCTGCGAAACCATTAATTTATTTGTCCTAGAATAATTAATATATTATTACTAAACTTATGCTAATTGTATATTATCTTATCGATTTCTTGCAGACATTTCTTGTAACATTTAAAAAATGCTACATCCCTGAATGTACACGTGTTTCATTCTTAATGAAACTGGTCTTATCAAACTCATCGGGCCTTTGGCAGGATTATAACATCGATCATGATGGATCGAATCGGATTTGTTCCATGTATTAAGTTCAATGATTGACGTGTTGAAAAATATCTAATCATTATTAGATTTCTAATAACTTAGTAATATGTAATCCATAAACAAATAGTGATACCATAAATATAGTGACACCATAAAAGGAATAAATTATATTAATCGTAATAAGATCTAAGAAAGTTCTGCAAAGAAATCAAAAATTTCCAAAAAATCTGCAATCTACTCTTACATTATATATGAATCGTTTTGCATTTGTAAAGTAAATCAGACTATTATCCTCGAACTTTGCATCAAGATTTCTTTAAGAAAGTTATATACATTCCATTATCTTTACATTTACTTCAAATAAATTAACATAGTACTTCCTATTGAATGAATATGGTAAGAAAATCGTCGTAATATAGTAAAAATGCAGAATAATAAGAGATATGACTAACACAGATATAATTCTAGAATTCTAAATTATAGAATTTTAAATGTTATCTGCAAGAAATCGATAAGATAATATACAATTAGCATAAGTTTAGTAATAATATATTAATTATTCTAAGACAAATAAATTAATGGTTTCGCAGAAAATATGCATCTGTTTGAAAGAGAAATATCTTTATGAATGAAGTAAAGTGTTAAATGTACAAAATATCGACTACTTTGCGCATCACATTAATGAGAAATAAAACATTTGCTTCTGTTTTCTTTGCATTTATTCTAACGAAATTTTCTCTGTGTTACATAAAAAAGAGATAATATGTCAATATATACGATACACTTGTATAAAATATTGTACTGAGAAAAAAAGAATTATTTATTTGGCAAAATTAATTTTGTTTTTATTTCTTTCGACAAAAAACATATTATATTTTACTTAAATACATGCATCCTCCAACAAAAAAGACGAAGATAAATTAAATTAAATTAGTTTACATCTTTACATTTTTTTGTTAGAGGATATGTACTCGTATTTAAATTAAATAAATTTTTTTCTCATTATATAAAGTATGAAAAAAATGATGTTATAATAATAATATTAGATCTATAATTTGAAATAATCTGGTTAATTTAATAGCATATTAATGAAATAAATACTTGTTTTATTAAAATAAGAATATATTGAGTAAATAAGATTATTTTCAACTAAATTAGTACTATTAATACAACATTATTTTTTTCATATTCAAACGAAAAGGCAGTAAGTCTTTTATTTACAATCTTTTATTTAAAAAAAAATATAAATATTTCAAGCATGAATCAACAGATCTAAATAAGGAGCGACTTTTGTGAGAAATTGATTACACGCATGAATGCACAAAATCATATATGTACATTGCATTATTCATTGGATATCTAGAATTAATGATCCTAGTCTATATTTCCATTAAATTCAAATGGCGAAGTATAATGTAAGCACACGAAGAGAATTTTTAAAATTTACCTTGGAGATATGATAGTTGTAATACAATACAATATTTAAAAAATTTTTACCATGCACTTCAGTAAAATTGATCAAACTTATTTTATACTTTATTGTAGTTTTATCAATGAATGAGAGAGATTTACATTAAAATTCTTCGAAATGCAATATTGTTCCACGATTGTCATATTTTCAGGATAAATTCTAAGAAAAATTTCTCTTCGTGCAGAGATAACTTTTTTAATATCGTTTTTCGTGACGACAGCAGCATGATAATAATTCGCGTGAAAGATACACATTAAAAATGGAAATTACAGAAATTACAACGATTTCAGTCAAAGTCACATAAGAATTATGGAGGCTTCAATTCCTGTTACAGATTGCTTGCGGCACGCGACAACTGATTGCCTCTTAATCATCCATCGTTAGATCGTTTTGCTGAGATCTTCCTCGAAGAAGTAAATGGAATCATACGTACGATCGACTGATTTATCAAGAAGTACATCACGAGAATGACCTCGCAGTTCATCACCATCACTGGTCGAAGCGATCGAGTGGGGATCGGGAAAAACAGAAACGCATGGGACAAACGTGTTAGACGAGGTATATCTTCCACCGCCAACGAGTCTTCGAGATCAGACGAGAAAATAACGTGATCAAGGCTGACCAAGGCTGATCGAGGATGCCAGTGAGTGTGTCGATCGCCTCATCGTTATTACTGTTAGTGTTGGTTTCGATCCTGTCACCGACTCATGGAATGTACATCGGACGTGAGTATCAGTTCACTTCGCTAAAAATACGGGAAAGAATATATTGAGTACATTCTTCTCGGTGAATGGAAAAGTCTTCCAAACAACGTGCTGTATACTAAACAAAATCTATTGTACAGCAATATGTTTCTTTCATGTAACTCTCTGATTATAAATGATTATATATTTAATACATAATTATAAATGTATTATTTGGTTTTGTGTAATTTCTTTACTTTTAATTTTGCATGCAGAAGAAGAAATAATTACTTGATAATTACGCGTCAAGCATTAACAATTAGTTTTGTCCATGTAATATACCACATTGTACAATTTAGTATTCGACATAATGATTTAATGACAATTGCAAAGCTTGTAGAAATATCTCTCTGACATTGAAAAAGAAACCTGTATTTTTAATTTGTTATAGCAAATAAATCCGTCGCAATGACTTTGTTAACAAGAAAGATCAATGTTATATCTCATTGATTTATCCTCAAATAAAAAAAATTTATAAAATCAAAATGATATTAAAATGGCTCTAAAATAATTAAAAGTCACTTTTTAAATTATAACGATTTATTTTAATGCTATTTTGACATTATCGCGATTTGTTGTTCTGCTTAGATCAGCCTCAATTCTTTTTAAATTCATGAAAAAACCATGGCACGAAATAAAATCTTAAATTATACTTGAAATAAATTTATGAAATGCAATTTCAATGCTTTCAATTAGTCTACATAATTGTTATATTTATATTTAATAAAATCTTATTAATTGTTACAACTAATGTCTTTTCTTTTCTATAATAAATATTTTAAAGCTATAAATAATTCAAATTGAAAAGTCTCACATTAATATCTTTATTCTTAAATTTTTAGTTCCAAAATTGAATCGAAAAAAATCTTTTTAAGTAGAGTAATCATCAATCTTATCAATATAAACAGAATAGGCTGTAGCAAATATATCAATAAATGTATTAATGCCAAGCTTATCAGAACCAATACAAGTTGTTAAAGTGTGTAACAATTCATTTATTTTAATATCTCACAGATTTTGATATATAAATATTTATACAACTTTTTTTAAAACTTTATAATTTATCTTGTGCAACTTAAAAATGCAAGTAATAATGTCGTTGAAACGTTTATATTAAATTTATAGGTAAATGAAAAATCTATACAACTAATTTTTAACTATTTTTAACATTATATATGTATTAACTATATAAAAACTTGTAATATACTGTTTTACAACAAACCATTAATCATAAAATAACGTCTTAATAACCGTCTTAAGATTATATACAGACGTTAATATAGTCAATAATTATTAAAATTAAATATTTTTTCATATTTATCTTCATATATTCATCATTTATATACATATTTATAAAAATGTGGTTTCGACCAGATTTGAACTTAAAATCTAGATTAGATAATAACCTAACACGCTAACTCTGAGCTATAAATTTAACAATTTAGCATTTGATTGTTATTCGAGTTCTCGTATAAGTTTATGATGAATTTACTATAAACTGTCAAAAGCATTTTTTTCGTACTTTCTCATAACTTTGTGCTCCTTGGATAGATTAATAATAATAATTAAAATAATCCCACTTTATATAAAATATAAATTATGTTTTACAAACATACATTATTTCTACACAACACGTTCATGTTCGCAGTTGTATAAATGTTTTAAAAACCTGAAATTATGACTTAAAAGTCGAGTTAAAATATACAGAGTTATATAAATGTTTCAAAAACAGTAACATTTATATTACAAAACAATTAATTTATAAGTACATACATTAATTTATGAGTATATATAATTTATAAGTAATAGTAAAGACGTTTCAAAAATTTAAAAACTGTGAGTATTATCAGATTAACATATAATGATTAGGCGTTACAAAATCTTAAAATGAATATCACATTACGACTCTAATTTGTACATAATTGTATAGATGTTATAAAAACTTCATATGAATATTGCACATATATCGATTAAATTTTATGTAATCATATAGATGTTATAAAAACTACAAATAATTGTATAATTGACATTAACTTTTCCGTCATATAATTTTCCGATATGTAAATTGTACAAACGTTTTATAGAGTTGTAAGAACTTTTTCATAATTTTGCTCCTTAGGAGTATAAAATAAAACATCTTCATTGTAAATCTGGTCAATCTTAGTTGAAAAATAGTCTAAACGTGAATGCCATACAAATGTAAATGTCGTAACAATTTTACACTATTATGTTTAATAAATTTCCAAATTCAAAGTGGTGACAACAAAATTGTTAATATCTAAAACGGTTACGTAATTCTCAAATTGTCTGATTTGATGATAAGCATGGGAATAAAATTGTCTGATTGTCTGATTAGCAAAAATTTGTAATACAAATTTGTAATTAATGTGTCTTTTATAATTTTCAGAATCATGTACGATCGACAATTCACCAGGTGATTGCAAGTCTTTACAAGACTGTCCAAAAGTATATGAGGAATTGTTAGCAGGCAAAATGCCTAGTCAAACCTGCGGATTTGTAGGTTTCAACCCAATAGTATGTTGCCCAAAAATAAACCATGTAACTCAACCAACGCCAACGCCGGCACCGCAAAAGGAGACTACTGTACGAACAAATACAATGCGACCTTTGAAATTAGATGAATCAAGATCTGTAGCACGAGCAAGTAAGAAAAAATTTCTTTTCAACCTATTCTTTAATTAAAGATAAGGAACATGCTAGAATAACATCAACATTTATTGAAACTAGCGTACAATTTGATTCATACTTCTGTCTCTTCAGAAGAATTCTTTACGTAAACATACAATACATAAAAGCATACGGTCTCTTAAGTATACATACACAGTTTTTAGCAATGATGAACTAACAGTTTATTAGTGTTAAATCAGCAATATAGACATTTTCAGCAAACTCGAATGGAAAATGAGATTCCTGATTATTTACTAAGGATCTTTAGATTGATAATGTCAGAAGCGAGAAATTACATAATAAAAATTCTTACAAAACATATTAAAATAAAAATACTGTTTAATAGCACAATATGTTTTTAATATGATACATTTGTAAAATGTGTCGAGAATAATTATTAAATTAGAATTAATTATTTAAGAACAAAAACTACATAATGATAAGATAGCCATTAATTTTTATTTTAGAATACTGTAAAAACACTCTTAATCAATTTTTTTCAATTTTCTGAGCATAAGATAAATGAAAGGTGCGATTATCATTTTATTTTTGTAATAAAAATCATATTTATTTTATAGTAAAAATCATATTCATTTTCGATAATATTATATTTATTTTCTGTTTTATTTTCTAGTTAAACAATTAATTCAATTTCAAATTATCATTATTTATTGATTACCGGGACATAAAGGAATATTCGGTATACTTTATAATTATATTTTCTATCAATTATAAATATTATTTTATTAAAAAATAATTACATTTTTTAATATAGTTTGTAGAATTTTCTAATGCGTTTTACTCGTTTCTGACGTCACAATTCAAGATAACTGCAGTGAATAAGCAGGATTAAAATATTTTTTTCTTCTTTTGCATTAGCTTGATATTAAAAAAATATATCACACACACACACACACACACACACACACACACACACATATACAAAATCTTGCACGTACACTTCTACGAAATTATATATACATATAAAATAAACATAGACATAAATTCGACTCATATTGAGATCTTAAACAGCAAGATAAAAAACATGATCAAATAAAAAGATTAATTAGGATATGATAGGATTATTTTAACTCTCGAGTTTTATTACGTCCTCTTTAATTAATATTTTCTTTTCTTCAGAATGCGCAGAAAACGCGGAAGCTGTTTACGGTTTTATAGTGCCACCCACACCTACATTGAACCGGAAACCTCTCAACACATCATTATGCGCTCTGAAAACACGCAAACTGATCGTCGGTGGCAAGAAAGCCGAAGCAAAAGAATTTCCGCACATGGCGGCCGTTGGTTTCGACGGTTCTGATAAAATCTTATGGCTTTGCGGTGGTACCTTAATTTCCAAGAAAATTGTTTTGACAGCAGCGCACTGTCTTTGGACAGCAGACTGGTAAATTTCAATGGTTTTGCTTTTTTTATCTTTCATCTATCTAATATTTAGAAAATTGAATAAAATGTCCAAGATTACTTTTATAATATTCTAAAACAAAAATTAATGGCTTTCTTATCATTATAACTGTAATTCTTGTTCTCAACTATAAATTTTGATTGATTTAAAATCTATTTTTGTCCAAGTTGAGATACTAAGATTACTTTTATAAATAATTTTGAGATTATAAAGGAAACGAAGCTTTTGGGATACGATTAAATAATATATTAAAATAATATACTAAAATAAAATTGAGATGCTTAGATTAGATTTATTTACTTTCAGTATGCTTTTAAATATTCTATTTCAAATATATATATTTATCATCCATATTTATCATCAAAATATTTAACGTTGATAAAAAATTATAATAGATAATACACATTCAAAATCTTATACTGAAAAATAAATTTTCCTGATCTAATATTTTCTTGAATAATATTAACAAGGGAATGTTTCCAAGTGTAAATCTCATAATAGCGTCAAACTTTATAGATTTATTCTTTAAGAAAACAGGAAAGTGAATTTCAACATTGGTAAGTCTTATCTTTGCGGTGTAAGCAAAAAATCAAATATCCAAGTTTTTAGCGACTATTGACTATGTTACTTTGTCAATTTTTGCTTCTTAACAAAATGTAATTTTTCTGATTGTATTAACACTGCGAAATTTGTGACTTACACCGATAAAAATGGCAGACATACATTTTAAATATTGCTCCAATTATGTAGATACTGAAAATGGATATAGAGTATATCATATACATATTATAGATTTTCAATGATACTCACATTGAAACGTAAGAAAGATTTCTGATAAATTATTTACAATAAATTAAATAAGAAAAATTAAATAATAAGTTATAAATTAAATTGCAAGTATTTAATAAAATCTAATTTAACAAGTAAATACTGAGGAAACAAAAAAAAATATTTATCTTTTTTCATTATCTAAAGTTCCAAATGATGAATTTTTCGCATTATCCTGTATCACGTGGAGAAATCACCATTGTTGCAGGACTTATATTTACATAATAAATATGTACTAAATCTAAACATATATTTGATTTAAATGTTACACTTTCCTTTTTGAATAAATATTTATTTACAATTTAAAAAATATTTACTTAGTACTATTCAAGAAAATATTATTTAGATTTAGAAAATTCTTTTTTCAGTGTAAAAGGTCTCTCGAAAAGCTCAAGTTTATTCTATCATTGTTGGAAATTTAAAAAGTTATTTTTTTTCGCTCTACTTATTCATTTATCAACTAACGCATTTCAGCAAGTGTTAATAAATAATTATTATAATAAATTTTATTTACTTCAAAAAGGGGAAACGCAAAATGGGTGCGGCTCGGTGATCTGAATCTCGTGCAATCTTATGACGATGCGAAGCCGCAAACCATCGAAGTAAAGGAAAGAATAAGACATCCCGACTATAAACGTCCGTCGGAATATCATGACATAGCTATACTGCGTCTGGCGAGAGATGCTGTCTACGATGCATATGTCAGACCGGCATGTCTTCCAGTTGATTGGCCTGACGTGGGTGAAAATGATAAGGCAGTTGCCACAGGATGGGGTCTAGTCGATTGGGGTAAGATCGTAAAGAAAGGAATATAATGATTAGAATGGACTCTCTATATTTAAAATAATAAATTTTAAAGTTACTGAGAGTCAGCATCTCTCATTAGCCTTGAAATTTACTTATTATTATTATCATAAAGAGAGGAGTCTAGATGTCAAATTATCAAAAGTTTAAATTTGACAAATTGTTGATTAACTGAGTTACTAAAATTAATTACTATAAGGCTGATATAAAGATATAACGTGATCTAATTATAAAAAAGAAAATATTTATTTTTATACGTACATATGCATACAAAATTAATAAGTGCACGTCGCTTATTCTTTAGCTGATGACCAAGGTTCGGATAATCTACTGAAGGTAACACTTCGTTTGGTTCCTCATGAAAATTGCAACGCGAGTTTCTTTGATAGCGGCAGTTCCGTGGAGCTCGCATTAGGGATCGTCAATGAATGGCAAATGTGTGCGGGAGAAGTCGGGAAAGATACTTGCCAGGTAATATACATTTGCACTTAGAAAGTTTTCATTCCCTTTTAAATAAAAATTTTATTTTAATGCGAGCTTCTTAGAATAGTTCTTGTAACTATTAGTATTAGTTAATCCAATCATGCCGCAACTTACGTTTGCTTCTTTTCAGCTCTCATTTCTCTAATGAGAGATCAAAAACTCAATTAGCTTCAATTGAAAAACGAGACATTGCTTATTGTATATCGTTTTTATAAAAAATATTTATAATAGAAGCAAAGTAATCGAATTGTTTATTCAAGGGTGACAGCGGAGGACCACTTGCCGTTTTTAACACGAACCATCAATGCATGTACACCATAATTGGGATTACCAGTCTCGGACGACTTTGCGGCAGCATCATACCTGGCGTGTATACCCGAGTCTATCATTACGTTCCTTGGATAGAGAGAACCGCGTGGCCGGAATATTTTTAACATATCTCATATTTTTATTAACATATCACACCTTTAATTTAAATGTATCCATTATTTTAATATTAAATACATTTTGTAAGACTTAGAGAATAATATATTTGCTTCCATTCATATTAATCTCCTTTTTTACTACGTCGATGATATTGTTTTTGCTACACCAATATAGATACATATTGAAGAAATTTAAGATTTAATTCTTATCATGAAAAGATAAAATTTACAGTAGAGATGATTACAAATGATAGCATAAATTTTTTTATATGTTAAATTGATGGTCGATGATGAAAAAAATATATATATCTTTAATATTTATCAAATATTTATGTTTAATATTTATCAAAAACTAACTAAAAAAAGTTTTGGAAGAGATATTTAAATTTTCAATCAAATCCTATGAAATATAAAAAAGGTTTCATTATTGGCTTCCTTAACAGAATTTTGTTCTTTTCACATCCTTGCTTCTCTCTCTCTATCAAAATTTAGAAATTATTTTTTTAACTATAAACAATTGGATAAATCTTGCACCACAAAAAGATAACAATTTTAAAGAAAGCCTAATGCCTAATGAGAATGATAAATTGACTAAATATTTTTTTACGGTTCCATACATGAAAAACATCTTCGAAAAAGTGGCCTTTATGTTTTTTATTTTTTGATTGTTTTTTTTTCAGACCATTACTTCATTTGTTTCAGTATATTCCTTTTTATACGACACAACAATTCATTTATTTCTAAACTTATATTGAAAACCCGATCTTAGCAGTATACAGGGTCCATCTTGTTTAAGACAAAAATGTTTCAGAAGTTGCTGAATTATTAAGAGAAAAGAAGATGATTTTGGTTGACATTAAAAAAGAGGTTGTCCTTGAGGTCAGATCAAGATTACTCAAAAATTTTTTAAACTCCTATTTTTATATTCATAATTGCTTCATAAGAGCTATTGAAAATTATAATAAAATACTTTTTAAATATTTAGTAATTGAGCTAGTATTTAGTAGTATTGAGCTATTTTTCCTGAAATATTTTTGTGTAAAATTAAACTTAAGGATTATTATATTCCTAGTAGAATGATTATATATATATATGAGTGTATATATATATATATATATATATATGTTCATATATAAAAATAAGAAAAACTGAAATTAATCTGTGTTTTGAGAACTTTTATGACTTCGTTTGCTTGTGACTTTCAATTTCATATTTCTCTATTGTCAAAAAGAAGCGTGAGTATACAAACTTTTTTGAGGCGGATGCGCGCAAGGTAGAATTCCTGAGGACACTCGGCATTGATCCCTGGACGCGCAAGCGCCGACCGGTGTATCTTCACCTACTTCCATCGCTCTTGGTCGTAGAATCCGCGAAAATCCGGAACGTAACGCGGTCGTCTATTTTCGTTTATCTGAAGAGGCAGCCGCCTCCCGCGACACTGCTGATCTCAGCCAAGGCAAGGAAACCGATCACGAAATGACCGGCTAACAGTTTCGCGTAGCAAAATCCAAAACTGGTTCTACGATTTTAATTAAGATTACTGCGATGCTGAAGACATGAGGTATAAATTGTTCTATATGGGCGTAATCGTACATTAACTATGTTGATGTATTTTAATTTGTAGCGGTATATTTATAGTTGATAAAATTAAATATTATCATAAACCAGTTTCGAGATTATAATTATGTTCGAATGATATAAGATTTTATATTTTTCTTTTTCTAAAATTAGCAAAAATTAGCAAAAAAGTAAAAATAAAAATCTTAATTTATAATATATTAATACAATACAAAAACTAATATTTTTTAATTAATAAAATTAACTATCTATATTTATAAAATTAATTATCTACGTCTATATCTATTATATAATTCTATTTTTTAAATATATTCATAATTTATTTATCATCTGATTGTTCTACATACACTCTTATGACGATCTAACATTTAATTTTTAGCAGGTGAACGAAAGAATTCGAAAGTTCGATGTCAGCTCTTCTAGATGTATGCGGAAATGATACCGGGTCACCATCGATATCGAAGGCCGATGATAATCTGTCCAATAGCGATGGGCCTTTGATTAAAGGCATTATTCGCCAAAATAGTTGCGGCAGCATGCATACGAGGTAAATAAGAAAATAATCGTGCATTATTATTATTGTATAACAATAATAATTCCTATCCAATGAAAGTTCTAAAAGAAAATATTTATAGTAAACTAAGTCAATCGTTAATATTTTTCTTTAGAAAGATTTGATGACGCATGCGTGTCAATTGTTTTATTTATTAATGTACGGACAATTAAACTTTGTTTATATTATCTTAATTAGAAAGAAAATAAATAAAGAATAATCAGAATTACGAAATGATTAAATATAATTAATATAAATATAGTCAACAATCGATATAATCCAAACTAGATTAAATTAATATTTCAGATGATTAATTTTCTGCTTGGACAATGTTAATAGGACAATCGCTTCTTCGTACGGCATGTCGACAGGTGAAAAATCTAAAAGACGTTATTGTCTCTGGATGTTGACTTTGGTCCTGGCGATAATCGGTCTCTGCAATCTTTTTCTAAACATTACTGTCATCGCTGTTTTACGCATAAGTCAAGGAATGGAAGCTATAGAAGTAATCCCAGACGAAAACCTTGTCAAGTTCTATGGAAGAACAGATTTGGACAAGGTACATATATACATTTGACATTTAAAGATACATAATATATGTATATAAGAGTATAAAAAAGTCTGAAACAATAAAAATTTAATAAGTAATCTTTATGGTACTCAATATATCGATGTCTTTTCGCAAATATTATACACACATTTTACATTTTCTGAAGATATCCCTGCAGTCAGGCATCTGCCAGAGTTACGGCGATGAGCCAATGGAAATATCTGGTGATGAAGCTGGGGTGCATGTTGACGTGAAGAATCGCGGACAGATCCACGAAACATATCCACATTCGAAGCTAGGCATTTTACCGAATGGTACCACTATGTCACAGGTGGAATCATTTGAAGTGAAGGATCCACGTACCGGTACAATTTACTTTACTACAGACTTCCCTAACTTTGGTCTACCAAACGGCGTCGAAACGATCGACGTAAGAATCGCAGAGACTCATCGAATTACGTCGCCAGTCAATGAGAGCCTGGCAGTCAAGTCTGACAACGAAGTCTCATTGCACGGTGCCGAGGGCGTACACATGGAAAGCAAAGATATCGTGTGGAGCGCCGATCTCGATATCTTCTTAAAGAGTGTAAATGGAAGCGTCGTGCTGGACGCCAAGGACGGCGTTTTTATCGACGTGGAGGATATTCCGGTGGCACCGATGTTCCTGCAAAGCCCGACCACGAGCTTCGAGCAGTACAAAGTCTGTGTGTGTATGCCACAGGGCAAACTTTTTAAGATACCAGTCCGGCCGGGTGCAAGTTCTCGTACGGTTAATTGCGCGCGAGTCGTCAGAACCCCGGAGAATGATCCTTGCCTACACTAGGTTCTAAGTGAAGTGACAAATGTATTCTACCATACACTTCGTTACACGCTTAAATGACGTGCACATCACTGCCAAATTGCAAGTGCATGCAAAATATAAGCATATTTCGAATAATGTGTGCACAATATTATGAGATTCAATGTGCATACCTCATCAGGACGAATATATTCGAAATAGTAAAAAAACCAGCTGATCTCCCAAATATTTACACGATATCACTGCAACACAGTCGTCCAAATGTTTAAGGAGATCAGATACATTTTTCGTTAAAAAAATTTACATAAAACTAATCTTCAGAGATCAAATCTCTTCATGGTATTTATACAATCATTGTTGAGTATAAATGCTTAAAGTGCTATAGAAAAATTCTTAGAAATAGAATAAGTTAATCTAGAATGCACATTAATCTATACTTTATTTTAGTCAAATCTCACATTACCATCATCAAATTATTTACGATGCAAATATAAACACCATATAAAAGTATAATTTTAAATATTAACGTAATTCATTCATCAAAATGTATGTGTGCAAGTATGTTATAAATACAATACATTTTATAAGAAACACCGAAAAGAAAGTAGCTTTTCGTACAAAATGAGGAATTCACAAAACGTTCCCACTTTCCTCAAGATCCTAAACACTTTCGGTGATCATCTCTTCGGTACTTTCGTCCATATCCTCTTGCTGTTCCTGCTCCGTAGGTGGCTCATATGCCTTTTCTAATGGGCTTGCCACTACGCCTCCTGCCCACACGCTCATCTCTACTGCGAGTTTGTTGGTGCCTTCCAGTAATGGTCTGTAGCCACCATGAGCCAGTACACGTAGTAACGTTTGGGCAGTGAGACATACGAGATCTTGTTGTTCAAGTGTTAATGCTGTATGTACACGTATATTGCCACCTTCGCATGGATCGGAAATACCTGAAAAATATAATACTTTATGTAGCAATTCTTACAAAATTATACGATTAAATCGATAATATCAACTGTTTGATATTAAAACGTAAATAATTCTTGTAATTCATCAGTCACGCACTTGTGAGAATTATCAATGTATTGTTTTCTCACTTTTGATATCACATAGTTTCCATTGATAACCATGTCAAAGATTTTAAGAATAAGTTTTTAATATACCTGCTGATCCTGGAAGAAACAATCCAGAAGCAAGCAACTGCAGTACTCTCTTGTACGCCTGATTTATTGGTAATGCTTGTCTGCTAGGATTGTTCATTATGGCATTATGCGCCAATAGATCCAACATCCATGGGGTTAAGGGCTGTAAACCTTCAAATTTGCTTCTAAGATCACGAAGCAATCGAATCAGAACTTTAATGCTAGAATGATGAGCGTTTTCCTCAAACCAACGAGAATGTCTAATAGCAGCAAGATGTCCTGCGACAAGAAATCATATTTTAATAATTGCTAAGTTATATTGTTACTATAAAAAATACAAAAATTACCTTGACAGATTTTAACGTCCAAGTGTTGCTCCGATTCTAACTTGCGTAGATTTTGGTGTAACGTCGTTATTAATACACGCACAGTAGCTTCATTGTTTCCAATATCGAATCCATATTCCGTTTGTGTAACTCTAAAGATTTCTTTCGGGTTCACAGCCTTCAAGTCATTATGGACTTTGTTCCCAAGAGCCTCTACCGCCGTTTTTGTTGGCAAAGTTTTGAGGATGACAACAATGTCAGCGTTATTGTGGCCCTTTATCATCGTACCTTTTTTAAAACTGCCAACTTGTCTTACTTCTTCCAATTGCTACATTGAAAGAGAATATACATAGAAGCAAATATGTCAATGTATAATATATGATAGAGATATTAAACAGAAACAGGGACTTAATTTAATAATTGTGCTATGAAAACATATACACTTACACAAGCTTCGAAGGTTCCTGGCGCAACAATTAGATTATCAAGAACACTCTGCAGCTTAGTTACAAGATTTAAGATGGAAGTCTGTTCTTTTGGAGTGGGACACATATCAGCATTCTTTTTCACAAGAGCTGACTGGAAATCTGATTCGTCTGGAGCAGGTTTAACACGTGGGAAAGCCGCCTCACAGAGTGTATAATCAAATGGGTGTCGTGGCAGAAATTGCTTTCTTGGGAAGCCCATTCCACGACCCATACCACCTCGACCACCTCTGATCATTCCTCCGCGACCTCGTACCATATTGTTTCTGCAATAAAAAATATTACCAATAATTTGATATGTATATGGTAATATTATGTACAATTTTATACATATAGAAGCCTATTCAGTGACTCTTAACGATTGTATTGTCACAGTTACAGTCGTTAAAAGTTACAGAATAAGTTCCTTAATTTTAAACAAATTTTAATTTAGGAACAAATATAAATTCAATTGCATTCATGTTTTTCTTTATCACAAAAATATGATAAATTTTTATTTTCTATGGGAAAATGTAATATTCAATAGTCTCACAGTGGACTAAACTTCAATTAAAATTTTACATTAAACTATATTTTTCTTCAAATTATATAAGGATGTCTTTTCTACCTGTAAAAACTCTAAAGCTTAATTAATAAAATTAATATTTAACAGTTTAATCTGAGTTTTTCTGAATAATTTTGTTAATTAAGCTAGCACATTCCATATGCATAAATTATATTACGCTTCTTCAGATTTTTAATAAAATAATTTACAAAGCAGGATGTGTGTTCACATATTTGATACGTAACAAACGTTCTAGTATTTATTTAGCTGAAATAATAGCTGGAGAATAAACAGAGGAAATCAATATGACGCTCCCGGATAACCTAAGTAATGTATGGGCGGTATTCGATAAATATCATAGTATTTTCAATACGTGCGCGAAATCAGTACATTTCTATAGCTCACGTGAATGGTATACGTACCCAAATGATGTGAATTGGAAAGACGTGATGACGGTTTATTAATGAAAACCGAAAAACACACCCTAAACTTGCCGCCTGGCGTCCGCTATCGTAGATGAGGCCAGATGAGACATGAGCATGAGACACGATACACGATTCCAATGATTCCGTTCGTAGTGGATAGATCCGGTACCTGCCTTTGCGAACATATAGGGAACTATGTTCTCAATGCCTCACTAGCGCAACGAGCGGAGGAAGCCTAGGGATTTTGTAGGTTGCGAGTTGCCTACAAGCGTCAACAGAAAATATTGTAAGAAGAGAGATTATTAGAGCATAGCGCTCGTCCTGTACGGTCATATTCATACATGCTTTTGTAATAAATTCATCGTTACTAATTCCAAGCAAAGTGGTCGATCTTTACACCTTCCATTGCGTTCCATTGTCATACGACAAGCGTGGGCTTGTCTTGAGAGGCAGATTCGTTAATCGAATCTCGTATTCCCCCCCCCCCCCCCACAAACAATTGCAATGTGGCGCCATCTGACTGTCACTTACGAAGTATATTAATGATTGCGAATAAATTGATAATATATCCAATAAGACTTTTAATAAAAAAAGCAATGTGTTTAAGTTAAAACTCAACGTTAAAAATATTTTCTACTTACATTAAAAGTCACTTTTATAGCGTATTCGATCTGAGCGGATTTTGCACCAATAGGTTGGATTAATGTTGTATGCTCTCCTATTGCTGGGATATATAACATCAATCAATAATAGAACATAATCCAACTCAAATGGGAATTTCCAAATCCGCTCTCGAAAATGCTATTTTAGTTTGAAGCGATAATGACATTCACTTAATGGCTGCGTTCAGCGGACTCAACAGTTGAGCGCTCGCTATTATTGGTGTATTCTTTTAGATCATTCAATCATCATTTTAGATCTGGAAGAATACATCAATAGCAGCGAGCGCTCACTCAATTGTTGAATCCGCCGAACGCAATCAATGCTACAAAGCTTTGAAACATTCTTTGATTGGTTAATTAGTAAAATTCTTTCTTCTGATTGATCAGTCAAATGCTTTGAAAAAATATTTGTGGACCATACTTAATGTTTCAAAATTGTATTTACATGTTACTTTTGCGATTCAAACGTCAAATATAAACATTTTAAACATTTTAAAACTTAAAGAAATTTGGATCCACGTTGCACACTTTATCCGAACAACAACATATTCGGACATAACATTTTTAAGATGTCCTCTGAATATTTTTTTAAAACGTCTTCTGAAAGTTTAAAAATTTTCATCAGTTAATTGTTGAGCTAATAATAATTAACAATTACGTTGTAATTATACATTAAATACTATACTAAATTTCCAAATGCGAAAATAATGTCAGAATAATAAATCTGTAATTTTATACTTTCTAAATGTGCATATTAATTGCAGTAATAAATCGATATTTATCTGAAATATTTAATTATATAAAATAAGTCTTCAATTAAAAAAATAAAATAAAATAAAATAAACTTCTAAGAAGCAAAATTCGTATTTAATCAATCTTGCAATTTCGTGAACTTTTCATCATTCGATACCTGCATTATTTTCTTATTGAAGACGTAATATCAAATTGCTTGAAATTAATCAACCATCGCGAAGCGTATGCTGCGCAGCATGGCGCGCAGCATGGCGCGCAGGAAAAAATTACATCGTGACAAAACGTAAAGATGGTGAAGACCCGTAGAGGATGGTATTTAACGGACATAAAGACAGACCAGAATGATAAAAGGATAAAAGACGAGAAGGAAGATGCATTGGAAGCGAGTCGAGCAGAGATAGTGAAGCGAGGCGATAACAAAATCGTACGACGTCGTTTGCAGGCCGAACAACGAGAAGCCGCTTTAGTGGAGGAATTATTGAATGCTCAAAAAGCCGTTGAAGCTAAACAAGAAGAGATTGAAGTGACGCATAGATTAGCTGCTGAATTGTCGCGGCGTAAAAGTAAAGATTTACGATTTGTATACTCAAATTCATTGAGAAGTATTACACAGAGAACTTTCATTCTAGCGATATCGAACACAAAACCGATTTCTTTGTGAATTACAGATGAAGAAGACATAAAACGTGCGCTAAAATTCGATTACATAAAATCCTTCGCGCAATCACCAACGCGTTGTGCTCTGAAGGAAGCCCAATCGCATTTGATAGAGGAAAAGGTTCGTTTGGAAGCAAATCAAGTGGAACTATTAAAGCATTGGTACGAAGATAACATTTTCGAGAAGCTGCAACAAGCTGAAGAAAAAAAGAAGCAAAGCAGGCGCAAAGATCTGCAGAAGCAATTGGCGGACAATCAGCGACGAGTTCAACAGAGAATAATTGAAGAGAAAGAGCAGGATCGCAAAATGATGGAACGAGCAATACAGAAGACTAAAGAGGAAGATGCAAAGACGAGGGAAAAAAAAGAGAACGATGCGATTTTTTTGAGAACAGAGATGGCCGCGTCTATAGCGGCTAAGAAAGTATGGGAAAGGAAATATAAGGAAGCATTAAAAGAGGAAGATAAAAGGATAGCTCGCATAATTGTAGAAAAGGAAGCTCAACACGAGAAACAGCTCGGTACAAAGGTAAAACGAGTTTCACTGGAAATACATGTATGTTTTGAATTGATAAATTTATAGGATAAAAGTATTTCAAATGTACGTTTTCCATGGTATAGACGGAACTTCGCGCAGCAAGAGAAGCGGCGATAGATAATGTAGCTAGAGAACTACTGGCTAATGTGTGCAAAAAAAAAAAGCAGGAAATCATTGATGAATTGTATCGAGAAGAGCAGAGAAATAAATGGATGAAAAAATCGGTCAGACCTGCACCAAAGAAGCAATGCGATATTGCTGAATCCTTCAAAGAAATAGTAACATTAATTAATAATTTTTTTAAAATGTTACTATAAATTCACTGGCAAAGTTACATTGAATCCAATTTTTCTCAAAATAATGAAAAGTTCAAAATTGTTTAATTTTTTTTGTTTCGAATTAATAATATAATAAATTTAGATCATTAATTACAATTAATAGTTAAAAAATAAATTCTGAAATATTTATTTTGAATTTTTCAAATTGTTTGTTTTTGTAAAAATTATATAAAAAGAATCTTATATTAGAAATTCATATATATAAAACGTCACAAATATATTTGAAGATGAAACAGAAAGCTGATCGTAAAGCGAGAGATGAAGTAATCGATGCCGCGTTTATACAATATTCAGCTGAATTACAAAAGAAAGATATTAAGAAACAAAGAGAAGATGATAATGCACGATACGCAAAGAGTAAGCTCACATTTGCATTACATTCCAACATTAACGTGATTTTGAATTACAGAATTATTCATGATATTATAGTTTCAAATATACATACCTATTAATAATTCTGAAAATTAAATTAAATTAAATTAATCATATAATTATATTACAGAAATTCAATATGGAAAGGAATTAAAAGAAGTTATAACAAATAACAGAGTTAATTACGCTATGAGTATTTTAAAACGACAGGCCGAAATTTTTGCGCAAGATAAAAATACAAATCAATTAACTGCAATGAGCATAAAACAATTTAACGATAAAAACGATAATAACAAGGATTGCAAGAAAAAGGATAATTGATATGAGCATCAGAGGCTATTCTGAATAATGTAATTAATACTCTTGACATTAATAAAAAAATTCTCTGAAAAGTTGCGTTACAAATATGAGAAATCACAAAATTCCAATGAAAATTCCAATGAATAAACACGTAAAATCAATAATAAAAATGCTTAAAAGATAAAAAATAAAATTATACATTCTTTGTAATTATAATTACAATTACATTGTATAATTATTTACAATTACATTACAAACAAAATACAATTTAGTTAAATGTCTCGTCTAATGTGATCTCATATTTACTTAAGATTTGAAAATCTGCTTAATAAAAGAATCATATTCAAAAAGAAGAGATGACGGAATAATACTAATAAAGATTGAAGCTCACTACCGTGCAATAACGAGTGTAAAAACTTCTGAATTCTGAAAGTCTATTTAATTGTAAGTTTCTGAAACTCACATCCTAATGTAATGATTAATTTTACTAAATTTAATTTATGGCATATATATTTAATAGAAAACTAGTCCTTTCCATTTCTTCCCAAATTAAGGCACATTCTTCTATCTGGATATTTTTACTAAATAAAAACGTGTCTTGCAATAATATTATACTATATACATATGAGCTCGTTTTTTTTTCTTTGCACGGTCGCAGCTTCTTCATTTCTCCACATTTCGTCTAGTATTTATTGGTATACAGGTATGTACATCTCCCCGGCGCAGGATTTCCCCGCGAGAACTCCGTTATATTTGTACAAAGTCCGTGTAAAAATACAGCAGCCCCATCTTATATCAATTATAAGTTTATGTGGTACGCGATAAGAGTTAAAATAATAACAGTCTCGCCTCTCGGACGTATCAAATATTCCGAATAGGTTCGGATCGAGACCACTTGTGCCCTCGACTTTGTTCGAATCCGAATGTTTGTGTGTTGTATCATTTGGCATGCGGGGGGACATGCGATCTCACCACCCCTGCTAATCGTTAAATGGAACAAGAAGCACTCGAGTTTAACGAGAATGACTACGGTATTAATTATGTAAGTACGAGAATTAATTTGTTGGATAGCTGGCTAGTCGCCACAGTCGCTCAGCCCTATCATCATTCACAGATCAAAAATAGTGTGTTCAGCTATGACTACTGAAGTTTGATGCTTTCTTAAATCATACGACGAGCACGCATACATACGGAAAAAGATTCTACGGCAATACCAGCAATCTTCCCTGCTAGATAATTCATACGATGGTCTTCATTCTCATTCATGATCGAATCTCGAAGCATAAGAAAGTTACTATCCTTTTACAAAAGTAGATCAATCTTGTCTTGTAAAATAAATGGAGTTAGAAGGAATCTAATTTCCATTGGAAACTTGAACTTCGTTATTCTGTTCTGTTCCCATTTTAGAAAATTCAAATAGAAGTCAGAATTCCTTTCAACGCCAATTTTTTCTTCTTAATGTATGTTTTATAAAAAGTTTTTTGATTCTCTTAATGGTTCTCTCTCTCTCTCTCTCTCTCTCTCTCTCTCCAGTTCGCTTTCTTACTCTCTTACTCTCTTTGTTTTTACTCTTTTGTTTATTTATTAAATAAATTATCACATAGTACACAGTTTACCCGAAGATGGAACAACTGTCCCTAAGTGGATAAACCATAGTGTTTAATCATGCGTCATTCAATTTGTTAAATAAAAGCAATAGTATTGCATTTAACTTTCTATGCTAAAACGTGCAATGAAAAAATACTACAAATATTATTATATGATATTTACTTTTCCTTCTAAACTTATTTACGTTTCTCAGTGGATGTTTCTCTTTGATTTCGCTATTGATTATTTTCTCAATTACTAAATGTTCTCACGCTAATCCAATCTCACTTGTAGCCCAGAACGAGTTATAAATGGCACAAAACTCCCTTTTCCTCGTATGCATGCGTTCTCCATCGCGCTTGCTGAATTCTTAAGATTGTAGAAAATTGCTGATCGCATTACAATACGCGTTTACGTATTTGATTCACTTCACCGCGACTAAATCTCTCGGTAGACAGACTACACAAGGATAACAGCTACATTTTTTATCATCTACATTACAGAATCCGAATATCCAAACATTTCTGCCGTCTATCTGATTCTACGATCAAGCTACACGCTTTCTTGCTTTCATTCTTTATCTGTTCTTTTGCTTCTTGTTTTTAGATTATAACGTAAATCTTACGATCAAAGCGGAATACGTACTACTTACTTGTACGACATATATAGGTATGTATCACAATATATGTGTATATATATATATATGTATAGAGGCATATAGACACAACGGAGTACAAACGAAGTTAACGAGTGTTCAGATTAATACGGATTAAACGCTCGCCGCGCTCGCACGCAAATTCGTAGCGATTTCTGCGCAGCGACTAGGCACAACAAAGCGAATCGCGCAACATGGCTTATAATCGATTAAAGATTCGGAAATTGTAACTGACATTCCAGTGGATTTAAATGCTACAGACACTCTGCACAAAGCTGAAGTCCCTGTCCTTTTCTTTCTTTTCCTTTTTTTTTTTGACAAGTAAAATGTGTCAATCTTCAAATACTTTAATTGTGAATTAATTGTTATTCAAAATTAAGAAAAATTAAGAAAAATTTGTGAATTTTCCTTTTACAAAACCTGCCCAGTTTTATGAAATAAATCCCATTCAACTTACATCCGCGTTGACTCTTATTAGGCCATACCTTGTTCTTTTTATTGTTTCATTCAATTAAATTTCATTCAACCGTTTCTTATTACGGTATAGCATCGAGAATTTAATCCACCGAAATAATATCGATTTCAATTCCCAATTAATTCAAGAGAGGATATAACACAGCTCGGTCTTAAAAATAAAAGCTTCCTTACGAGTTAAGCAATTCTGTCTATGGATTCATGTAAAAGTAACATCACATCTTCTTATGAATTAAGTACATTTACGGAGCATGTTTATGTGTATACACGCATACACGCGCACATATACAAACGGATCTCTTTTGAGAATTGTTGCTATGAACACCAGTTTCGCAATTACAGAATCAATTATGAATGTACACAGAACACGGTCGGTCACATGTAATTACCATATTAGACAAAGCATAATTTCTTGCAAAGTCTTAGTTTACCTATATATAATTATAAATGTTCTTATGAATTTTGGAGTTGAAACATCGCTCACTTAACAAATTAGGCTTCCAATTGTTTTTAATTAACAAACCTATATATAATATCAAATAATATAGCGCTATATAAATATAATTTTAATATTGTTCCCTCCCCCCCAACAGCTGCACGCTGTTGCAAAATTCAGTCATGCACATATATATAATTGATCGACACAGATTATCTTTAAAAGATAAACAAAATTCAATTAATAATTTCTTTAATTCAGCTTTCTTTAATTCAAAGCAGTACACAGTTCAGAGATTTTCATTCACCGGAAGAGCTAATTCATTTAACTCCGAACGATTTAGTGAAATACTTGCTTAAATTATGCAAGTATATAGCGACGTTAATAATTTTAGTCAAATAGCTTCAATTAAGTTAAAAAAAACCTATCAGACCCTGTTTATATCGTTTAGTAATCTATACATAAAATGTAGCTAATTATTTTTACGTTATTTAAGTATTTTTACCTTTCTCATTCTCTCGCTGAATAATACTTGTTGTTAAGGAATGATATTATACAAAAAGGAATATTAATATTATTAATGTTATTATCCTTGAGTATCGAGTCCGTATCGATCCAACTTGTTACTTTATCATATACAACGACTTCTCGTACATTTCAGCGCGTCAGGCTGACAGTATGAGAAGTCGACGATCGTAAACGGATCTTAAAGAGGATGCATTAACCGTACTCATACGTGTTGGCTAATAAGAGCTAGTTTAGTCGATTTCATAACGATTAATCAAGCCGGCTATCGCGAGTTTGTCGCCATGAATGAAATCGTGGCAGCTCAGTAGATCACGACGACACTCGAGGGAATGTACATGACTCGTGAAACGCGAACACGCGAATATTCTGTACCGAGATACGCTTTTAGCTCGAGTGCACGTGCCGTGAGCGCAAGGAACTTAAACTCGACAAACACATTTGACAATGCGTTGCAAAAGAATGTTAATTAAATAGAATCGATAGAAGTCTGTTTTGTAAATATATAAATTTTAGAACACCTATCCCACTGTATAATAGAATAGAATACACAGTATAAAATATACATGGTATAATAAAATATACATAGTATATTATGCGGATGTTTTTTGCAAAGATTTCTTTGTGAAAGAAATTTAAATATGAAAAAGCAATTATCTATCGAGTCTAATTAATCGACTCATCTTTTGCAGAATGAATAGGAATGTCTGAGCGGTAAAGCATTACAATTAAATGGAAGCTACACTTAGAAATGCAATTAGATATGTAAAGAGACGCAAGTACCAAATAATAGCATCAGATATTGGATTTTTAAGTATGAAATAGAAGAAACATATTCTCTGTTAACAACCACGAGTAAAAGAAATCAGTTAAAAAGTCGGTGTCGCTAAAACTCGGCATAATGGATGTCAATGAAAATATTTTATACAATCCTAAAAATATAAGCAATCTGTCGATTCGTCTCACAATTCTCGCGGACGTCCTAAAGATGCAAAGTATATCCGATAAGATGCTTCATGAGATGTAATTAGGAATTGTCGACAATAGGAACCACGAGTGAATAATAACGTTATAATATTATAACGTTACAGGCAGATCGGGCGGCGAAAAAACAAGAAAACCTTCTGACGATCTGTTCGGAACTGCCTGACGTTTCACGGTTCCCATTAACGTCAGATCAGTTCTGATCGTGGTATGCTAAATTTTGTTCCTCTGCATCGATACAATAGCCCTAGCTATTAGCGAATAAACACTGTAGCTAATATGTTACATTATAACAGTAGCTATAATATAGAATTACATGTTTAATTATATCATAGCTAAAGATATAATGTTACAATTATA